GCATTTTTATGCACAATTACCTATGCATATGCATTTTTGTACACATTACTTCTCTGGGGAAACTGCATTGCAAAATTCGGAGTAGTGCGAATTTCAGTTCACACATTGCTTCTGAGATGTGCATATGGTAGGCTTGCCTTCCAATGTGACCTGAATCAAATTTCTCTCCCACCCCCTAAGTGGGAGTTATTCATAATGCATGGTGTTGGTAATGCATACACCAGCTCTCGATAGCGTTAAAGACAACAGAACGGGACTTAGTTGCAACTGCTCAGCTGAATTGTGGCTCTGAAATTTCGAAAGGGCACATGCTGGAGATTCAGGGCCAATCAAGAGTTCATTTTACACAACTGAGTGCTTGTAAGCACATACCGTATTTTTTGCTCTATAGGACGCACTGGACCATAGGATGCACCTTGTTTTAGAGGGGGAGAACAAGAAAAAAAATTCTCCCCCTCTCTGCTCAGTGCCTCTTCAGCGAAGTGGCAGGAGGAACAGAACCCCTTCCATTTCTCCTCCCGCTTGGCTGAAGGGGCGCTGCGCAGCTCTCCCTCTCTGCTGAAGCCAGGAGAGTCTTGCTCTCCCGGCTTCAGCGAAAGGAACCCGAAGCCTCCGGAATGCAGCGGGAACTCGCGCTGCGCTCCACAGGCTTCAGGTGGCTATCCCTGAAGCCTGGAAAGTGAGAGGGGTCGGTGCGCATCGACCCCTCTCACTCTCCAGGCTTCAGTGAAAGCAACACGAAGCCTCCGGAGTGCAGAGGTAGTGCTTCCTCTGTGCTTTGGAGGCTTCGCGTTGCTATCGCTGAAGACAAGGAGCCTCCATAGGACGCACACACATTTCCCATTAATTTTTGGAGGGGGAAAAGTGCGTCCTATAGAGCGAAAAATACGGTATTTCTCCTTTAAACACTACAATATTAAACCTGCAACATGCAGGCGACATTGGGGCCATTCCTTTTCAAAAGCCAAGAAGGCTCCCAGCAACATTATATGCATATTAAGAAAACTTATTTACTTTGTAGAACTTTGGCTATGGAAGATGTCAAGACACATTAGCTTCTTCCCTTGTGATATTTTGAAAGTTGCTGGCAAAATCAAGAGGTGGCGATGAGCGTGCATCGCAACTCTCTTCCTAAGGGCGCCCCTTCCCCCAGTATAATTGAGCACATTCAATTAATAGTGACATTGCATGACTGCCACCTCCTCACAAGATGGAGCTGGGAGGGAAAAAACGAGGACCCAATTAATTATTATTTTGTAAAGTCAGGCATCATCTTTAAGTAACTAATCCCTAGAATTATCGAGTTGCGCGTATATAGATGTTAAATCTGCTTAAGCAATTACTAGCAATAAGACACGCAGCTGGGTCCCCTGGGGTTTGGTCTGTGCTTTTCCCATGGTGCCCAACGCATAGCTGTCAACTTTTCCCTTTTTTTAAAGGGAAATTCCCTTATTCCTGAATAGGATTCCTCGCAAGAAAAGGAAAAAGTTGACAGCTATGGCCCAATGACATCCCTGGGAGCTGCCTCTTCCATTTATGTATGGAAGACATATGACAAGCTCTGCTGGATCAAGCCATTGTCCCATCAAGTGTAGCATCCTGTTCTTACAGTGGCCAACCAGATGTCTGTGGAAAGCCCACATGCAGGATCTGAGCACCAGAGCTCTCTCCCTCCTACAATTCCCACCAACTGGTATTAAACGCTACCTGCTGATAATCTGTAAGAGCACATAGATCACCATGGGGCACTGCACCCTACAGAATATCATAGGACGCTGACCCTAAAATAGGCATTTTATGCTATTGCAATAGGGCACACCCTTCTCTCTGCTGTATGTGAAGTAGCAATCATCAGTTGCTTCAGATGCCTTGTGACCCTCGTACCTATGGGACCGCCTCTCCCGATATGGCCCACGGAGGACCTTAAGGTCCATAAACAGCAACACCCTAGAGGTCCCAGGCCCTAAGGAAGTCAGATTAGCTTCAACCAGGGCCAGGGCCTTTTCAACACTGGCTCTGGCCTGGTGGAACGCTCTGCCTCGTGAGACCAGGGCCCTGCAGGATATGATTTCCTACCCCAGGGCCTGTAAGACAGAGCTGTTCTACCTGGCCTTTGGCTTGGAATCAATTTGATTCCCTCCCCCTCTTTCTTTTTTCATTTATCCTTCTGTGTTGGAACTCCTATTTGGGGACTTCCCTGGCTTTTTTCTGGCCCATGTAGGACCAGTCTGGATAGTTAGTCTTGGTGAAGACTTGACGTTTTCATCCCCAAAAAAGTCTTTGATTGAGTATCCACTGAAATGAGGCTGCATTTTAATGTTTTAATGTTGTATTTTAATCTTGTATTTTAAGCTGTATTTCAATCAATTGTTTTTATACAGTGGTACCTCGGGTTAAGTACTTAATTCGTTCCAGAGGTCCGTGCTTAACCTGAAACTGTTCTTAACCTGAAGCACCATTTTAGCTAATGGGGCCTCCTGCTGTCACCGCGCCACCAGAGCACGATTTCTGTTCTCATCCTGAAGCAAAGTTCTTAACCTGAAGCACTATTTCTGGGTTAGCGGAGTCTGTAACCTGAAGCGTATGTAACCTGAAGTGTATGTAACCTGAGGTACCACTGTATTTGGTGTTAGCTGCCCTGAGGCTGGCCTTGGCTGAGGAGGGGAGGGTATAAATTATTATTATTATTATTATTATTATTATTAAGAGTTCCCTTTTTACCTGGCATTTCCCCTTAAGATTGGACCCAGATATGGATCCCTTAAATGACTTAGGTTGTGTTTTTGCTTTAATAGCATTTTTTTGTTTTTATACTGTGTACTACCCAGGAGATCTTAAAAACCTGAGGTGGTTTATAAATGCAAACAAGGAAGCAAGCAAGCAAGCAAACAAATGTATGCTATCGCAGTGGAAGAGAGCAGAAGGGCATTTCCTTCCCTGACGGCTGCAATCTAGCAGGGCGGCTCCATTGAAGACATTTCCCCTTCACTACAACAGCCCAACAAGGAAGCTGAAAGATAAGCTTGGGGTGGTAGATGCCTTTGGCCATTGGCTTCTTTGGGGCCTGATTTAGGGATGCAGCCAGGAAGACTATGGTGCACAAAGGCAAGCGTTCCACTCAGTCTGCTACTGTTCTAGCTAGTGCTATGCCAAAATCTGTCCCTCAGTTTCCTGAAAGTTTTCTTCCCCTACAACAGAGAGACTTCCATTTTTCTGCCTCACTCAGGAGCCTTTAGAATTTCTTTCGGATTTCACTGGGTGCAAGATGGGTGGGGTATAAATAATAAATTGTTATTATTGTTGTTGTTATTATTATTGTCAACATCCTTCTTAAATTGTGGTGCCCAGAATTGGACACAGTATTCCAAGTGTAGTCTGACCAAGGCAGAATAGAGTGGTACTATTACTTCTGTATAGTAAACTTTACTATTACTTCCGTATAGTAAGGTATAGTAAGGTCCGTATAGTAAAAGCTATGGTTTTCCCAGTAGCATGTATGGAAGTGAGAGCTGGACTATAAAGAAGGCTGATTGTCGAAGAATTGATGCTTTTGAATTATGGTGCTAGAGGAGACTCTTGAGAGTCCCATGGACTGCAAGAAGATCAAACCTCTCCATTCTTAAGGAAATCAGCCCTGAGTGCTCACTGGAAGGACAGATCCTGAAGCTGAGGCTCCAATACTTTGGCCAAATCATGAGAAGAGAAGACTCCCTGGAAAAGACCCTGATGCTGGGAAAGATTGAGGGCACAAGGAGAAGGGGACGACAGAGGACGAGATGGTTGGACAGTGTTCTCGCAGCTACCAGCATGAGTTTGACCAAACTGTGGGAGGCAGTGGAAGACAGGAGTGCCTGGCGTGCTCTGGTCCATGGGGTCATGAAGAGTTGGACACGACTAAACGACTAAACAACAACAACAAATTACTTCCCTTGATCTGGACACTAGATTTCTGTTGATGCAGCCAGGAATAGCATTAGCTTTCTTTGCTGCTGCATCACACTGTTGATTCATGTTAAGCTTGTGATCCAGCAAGACCTCTAGATCCTTTCCACCCTGTCTCTAGTAAAATCATACATTGGCACAAGGCTGTGAAGTGAGTCAATCACTCCTTTCATTGTACAAAATGTCCAGAGGTTTCAAGCAAACATTTATTCATGGAAACAGAATCTCATTCATTCTCGCATGGGTTTTTTGTGTATTAATGAGAAAGTGACAAAAAAAGAAAGAAAACAGAACTCTGTGTGCATCCTTCTTTAAAAATAAGACAGTGAGACATGACCCAAAGTGTTACAGAATGAAGATGCTAAGAATTTTACATCAATGCTTGCAGGTGTTTAGGATTAATTCAAGGACAAATGAGAGCATGTTACACACTTACAAGGCAAAGATGAAAAAGGACACACTGAATTGGATGTGTTTTTTTAAAAAACCACCACCACCAACAACAACAAGAGCAACAACTTGGATGCTTCAGATTATAAATGACAGTGCCAATGCAGGAGTCAGTGGGTAAATATTCTAGACAATTTACAACTGATTATTATATATAAAACATTTCTTCTTTGGTGCAACTGTCATTTAGAGAGCTTCAGTCTGAAAGATCTGTCAAGGGAATGATGACAAATTCATGTACCTCCATGGCAAGTTTTACATATCAAACAGGACCACCACCACCACCACATCCCCTATTTAGAGAAAGTATTGCCTAAATATGCATGCAGGTGTAGAATTTCATAATGAAAACTGGAAAGATGGTCAACCATGGTTTGGCAGTCTGGTCAACAGCAGACCACATCTTGCCATCCAATCAGCGATGCATCCAATAGCACTCCCAAAACTTGTAAAAAATATTGGAAAGCACAAATATTGAAGGATGGCTGTGTTTCACTTTGCTTATTGCTTCAGAGAGTGCAAATTGGGTAAGTTTAAATACCAGGTGAATCAAATTCCTCCTCCATTCCTTTTCTGGATCAATGGCGAGTTTAAGCACTCTATCAACTTCCATCAGATAGCTCAACTGGTAGAGCATGAGACCCTTTCATCTCAAGGTTGTGGGTTTGAGCCCCACATAGGGTGAAAGATTCCTGCCTTGCAGGGGGTTGGAGTAGATGACCCATGTGATCCCTTCCAAAATTTCTATGATTCTATACCACCCTTTCCCTGCCCTTTCTCTAAACTATTAATGTGTGATGTATTGTGCTTTTTTTACTTTTTTTTTAACTTTTACTTTTTTGGGGGGTTGGGAGCCATCCAGAGAGACTGGGCAACCCAGTCAGATGGGTGGCATATAAATAACAAATTATTATTATTAAAAGTCCCAGATGTTGTAATCTTTCCTCACAGGAAAATTTTCATCAGCAGATTTTGTGATTTATATTTATAAAAAAACCATTACACTATCAAGGGAAAGTATGCATAAGTATCAGTGGAAATAGCATACCAAATGCATTATATTAGGGGAAATTGTTTGCTAAATGTGTATAATAGGAAAACAATTGCATACCAAAATACATATACTATCAAAGGGGTGGGGGCATAAATGCTGTCCAACTTTTGTGGTCAAATGAACTCAGCATTGGAAAAATGAGAGACGGAGAGAAGCAGAAATCGATAGATTTCTCCATCACTAGATGTGTGTATCTGCATGTCTCTCTGTGTGTATGTGTGTGAGGGGTGGGGAGAGGGAGAGCAGGCCAAAAAAATAACAACAGGGGTTTGAGGGAGGTCACAGCTCAGAGGCAGATGAGGGGGAAGGTTGGGAAATAATGGGAGGGGAGGAGGAAGAGGAAGCACCAGAGCGGTGACAGCTGATGGACATGGTGTCTTTAGAAAGCATTCCAGACCCCCCCTCCCAGAACCTAGCGAGCCTTGAAAGTAGGAGAGCAAAAGCTCAAAGGCAGAGGGCACTTTTCAGAACCTGTAGTGATGACTCATGAGGAAGTGGGAGAGATGGAGCGGGTGGAGATTCACTCAGGGCAACGCCATTATTCTGAGATGCTGCATTCCCAAGCCTCACTCTGTGAATATTGAATAAAAGCAGATTGTAAGGACTTTTCCTTGTCTTGTCCATTCCTGGCAACCTGCCGTGAGGGTTGGTTCCTCTGCCACCTGACAATCAATACTGCACCAGCTCAGATATCATCATGCATTGTGGCAGAGAATGGTGTACTACTGTTGCAATGCCTCATCTGAAATATGTAAGTGCTGATATAGTAAGTCTTCTGAGTTTGGGCTATAAGGTTCTCACAAGGAATGAGAAAGTAAAGCTTCGGGCCGTGTTAGAAATCATGAAGCATGAACATGGGAGGCAGATTTTCCCAGAGGATCCTTCTTCCTGTGTGTTCAGAGACAATCACAAACAACTCTCTGGACCAATAGAGACTCAAAGGTCAACTTTATGCATTATGCTTTTTTAGGTTTACACTTAAAAATAGAACATCAGAATGAGACAGGCCTATATTTGACAACAGAATTATTCCACTCTCCGGAAAATATTACACAGTTGCCTTAATCAGCTCTCTGTGAAGTGACCTGAAGACCCAGTTGCAGATCAGGATGTGATTTATATATATATATAAGCCAATATTAGAATATTACATTTTATGTAAACAATACCAAATATTATTAAATATTAATTATTAATTATAATAAGCACATTTAATTCCATATTAAAATGCTCATCTAATAATAACCAAATTGCCTTCTTTCTCTCTAGTTCTAGAAGTAGGGGAGAAAAGCAAGGGGGTTATTATTCTTAAAAAAAAAAAAGATTTTGGGAGCTGACTGGATAATATTGTAAGAAATGGGAAACATAAATGCCTGCACAAGGCTAACTTTGTTTAAAACTTTAATTCTGGTGGG